TGTGAGGACAGTTTTCAAAAGGTATGCCCAAATCTCGTCAACTGGTACTTAAGTCGTCATTAAATTTAAAGGTTACTTTTAATAGACTAGGTAGTGTCTGCTTAGAAGAAAGCTACAAATACAAAACCAGAAAATATGATCTATTGAACAGAGTTACTTCCCACTGTTTACAAATGGCCACGTGTTTACAATCTTAATTCGCCCATTGTGGCTGCTGAAGACATTGGATCGTCGACAACTCTTACTTTCTCTATCAAACACATATATGCTTTTTTCGTCGTATTTTAGGAGTGGTTATTTGCATATACAACGTAGAACAGATCAATGAAATAGAAAATATATTCACCTTTCAAAATAAGCCGCCTTTGGTACTTTCAGATAACACGAGCGAGAGTAAACGAGAATACAAAAAACTGACGACAATTGGATCATGACGACTTTAAGGCACTTTACGTTACTTTTCTTGTGAAAGCAAATTTTGATTTCTCTATGGTAAATCTCTGTTGTTTATTTTCCGTAGCCATTGCCGAAGTACTCTTCATTTGAAGATGAACGGGAGAAAGCACGTGTCATGTTTCTAAAATATACATGAGGTTCTCGGGGTCGTTTCATGATTATTTTACAAAGCTGGATCTACACGATGTAACAGTTTAGTTGCAATGCATGATGGAAAACTTTAAAAAATTAAAAATAAGCAACAAGAACACCGAGTCACTTGGAGTAGATCTAGAAATTGCACTTACTTTTAAGCTGAATAGAATCCCTATGAACTTTATAAACGTCACGACAAATTCACATTCTGAAGATTCCTTTATTGCCGGTTTCTATCCAGTTCCGTAGATTCCAAGTTTTTACTTCAAAAATCCTGAATGACATGACTCCTACACTTTTGATGATCCAGATTTTTTAAACTGGTAATCCGTCTCATTATTAAAACATTGTTCAATTTGTGGAGTTATCTGGGTTAGCAAATGAAATATGTAAATGAAACACATCATAATTCAGCATGTTCCAAATCCATAATTCAAGAACGGCCCATCAATTTTAGTTGTCAACATCACAATGCTTATGGATTCCTGACGAAAAAAAAAACAACTTTATTACGTCAACAACAATTTACGAAATATATGACGTAACAAAAATGTCTCGCGCTTTTAATGGATGATTCCAGTTGCGGCATTGACAGAGGGCGGTTAGGCATATGTAACCTCAAAAAGATAATTTTAAGCGTTGAGATAAATTTATCTTGATGGCATTTAAAATAATTCTTGTATACCCAGATTTTGAAACTGTAAAACGTATACCTTCAATTCATATAAATTGTTAATAATATAAAACTTTTGATAACATTTAGATCTAAAAATAATTTTAAACACACTAGTCTTAATGACATGAATCTACAACAGTACAATACTTCTTCCATAATTACATATAACATTCGTTTTGATTTTATGTTTTTAAACTATTTTATATATTTCTCAGGAATAATTTCCCTACATATTATCTCGTTATTCGTTATGTAAATCCTACTCTTTTAGCTACAAAATATACAATACGCGGTATTTTTTCTCCCGCGAAAAATATGCTAGATCTATTGTTTTTTCACTGAATATTTTCAAATTTTAGGAAGGCTAAAATTATTGAGAACGTCACTCGGTGTTTCTCTTTGACTGGATCTACCCTTCATATTAACAAAATAATTATATGTAACACTTTGAGTCTACAAAAAACACTTATTGTCACTAGTCTTATTGAACTTTACTCTTAATAATATCAAATCACTGCCGGTATTTCTTGACATTTTGTTGAATTGTGAGACGGAAAGTTTATTCTGTATTTACGAGCTTAAAGTGTATAGGCCTACGTTTGATTGCTTAAACTAGAAAGCATGATCATTGCTTAAACTAGAAAGCATGATATTATATTCTTATAATTTACATTTTCCTCGAACGCGAGTCTGTGTTCTCTCGTTAGCGAGGGAGTTAGTTAACGTAGACACTGTGGTAACAAGCGAATCAATGCTGAACGTATAGTGAATCAGTTTTCCTTTCTTTATATTTTTTGAAAGATTTGCATGATAATGTAGTATTTGTTGGCGATTTCTTGTGAAAGTTGAAACCCTACGGAAAGTTTTAGCGCATTCGTGACATCGCTCCCCGAAATATGAAGGGTAACATATTTATGTATCCCATCGAACCTGGTCAATTTATTTATTTTTGAATAGACGTGATACACACTTATGGACAGAATTCAGACAACTACAGAATTATGTAAATTAAACATTAATTAGCGAAGAACCATTTTTATAGTCTTCTATAGCTAGTGTTTTCGCTCCCCTACGACGCGTTGTGGTATTCAAGATACGCGCTTGATTAAAAAGCTATCTAATCAAATCACTTCATTGTTCTTTTTCACTTAAAAATATAAAATACGACAGTATATCATGGTAATTAATTAAAGCTTGTGTGTTTGAATTTATAAAGCTTCCTGATAATTTCTCTTCAAATGATTTTGATTATTTTAAATAATGGTGTGCTAGTAAAATTGCCTTTTTGACACCAACTTTGTTGTCATTTTTCATTTTAATGATAACATTTAGCTATTGATCAGTAAGTAAATAAGAATAATATTTTTTTATAATTACCGAGTACATTTCACGCTAATTGTGAGACGAACCCTAAATGACGTCTATATGGGCGCCGCCATTTTGAAATGGACGTCACGTCAGGTTACAACGTAAGTCAACGGGAAAAAATATAATTTTAACATTTTGACCATATTACTGACTTTATGAAAAAAATGAAAAACATGCCTAGAGATATTGATGTCAGGGTTAACATGACATTAATTTAAATGATTTTACTATTATATTAAATAAAAAATGGAATGTTCAAATTTGATGGGACAGACTATAGTATATGATCAAATTTCCAAAGACTTCAGAAAAGTAATATTTCAGATATTGTCTGTAAAATTTATTTCTGACTCTTTTTGAAATAATAATTTCGTTGGTTGTCTTTAACCATGGAAATATTAAGCTACTTAAATCTGATTTGAACAACGTATTGTTCCCAATTAAAAAATTGCGTGTGCCCTAAACGATAAAACAATTGGCGGAACTAAATAAAATGGAATTTTGAAAGATGTGTTATTTTCTGGTCTTTCAAGATTATTGATTTTAATACTTTAAGTGTGCTTAATATTTGTGTTTGTTTCTATAGTTCTTAAGAGATGTTTTCTTTCGAGAAACTTTTATCCTGTAATTGACATTTTTATATTCTCAAGGGACAGTAGTGCGCCTCAAAGTAATACATAAAATATTATATAGAAAATCAAATCCGCTTTGAAAAATGTTCAACTAATTTATAAACCTTTCCACTATTGTTGGTAAATGACCTCTTTTTCATTGCAAAATATAGGCTACAGTTTAGTGTATTTTCATTATTTGTGTATTATCATTTCCAAAAAATGCTGGGAATTGCCTCAGCCAGTTATCTTTTATTGTGGATTAGACTCTTTCCTAAACAACAGAGCTAATGTTTCATCTATTCCGAATATTTTTTGCCCCACAGGAGCCTGTACACTTGTTTCGAAGTTCTTACACGAAGACAGTATTTCAATTATATATAGGTAACGCGACAAAAAAAAAACATGACCCCTTTTTCAGGTCTTTTGTCGTCCATTTTGTTATCATGCAGTATTAATTATCCACTCTAATTGGCTTAGGACAGGCGGTGTACTGGTAGAAAAAGTCGATATCTTGCAAGTAACCAAAAAGCTGAAGCGATGTATGCAACATTTGTATCATAGTTTGGGGGACCTTTCTGATGAAATGTGTCAGAGTTACATGTACAGTGCGTTAACTGGAGTGCAGGTATTAGTTACCCGCACTGCAGAGCATGCCCATTGATTGGTTCATTTTGTCTGGGGTTTACATATTGTGACGACGGGGAAAGGGAAAGCGATAGAAATATCATATTCAGATGCTCGTTCATTGGTTCATGTTTTCTGGGGTTTCATATTGTATCATCAGGGAACGTGTTTTTATTTTTGACTATGATACAAAAGAGAAAGAACATCAAAACACTCGGCAATCTGATTTATACTCGGGGAAGCCCCCTCGTACAAATCAGATAGCTTCGTGTTTCTATGCTCTTTCTATTACGTAGCTTATTTTTAAATAACATTTTTCTGCAAAACACACTTATTTAGTATCTTAAAGTAAGCCTAAGTAATGAATTTTTTCAGTCTTGTAGCAGGGGTCTAGCGGTAGGGTGTGGTGGCTTGTCCAAACACTGGTACTACCACCTGTGCAAAAACACACATTAAGAAAATATATAGAGTTACAGTTGATTAATCCTTTAAAAGCAGCATTGAATTAAAACAATAGAGTCATTATAGCAGAGATTATGCCAAAGCATATACTTTCTAGCCAAAACTTCTTCCCTGATTTTTACTAATACATGTATTTTATAGCTGAACTTGGATGTTTTTTCTTTCCATTGAGAACATGTTACATGTAAATCATTTCAACAAAATTGGCAAAAGCGAACGTATAGAACTGGTTAAAGATTAGATGAAATGGAACACAAAAACTATGTTTGTTGGAGGTGTTTATGGAGTATGCCTTTGCAAACATATAAATCAAGCTCTCCAGCTTAGAATTCATAATAGATTCCCTAAAATCCCTAAATTGAGATGGGTTTTTTTTCGAAAGACCAGATAGAATATTTATGACGGATATTGATAAGTCATTTAAGGAGTACAATATAAAGAGCCTTTCATATATGAAATCTATAAGAGAAAAATGAGCGAAATTGAGAAGAAAATAAGTACATCGATCCAAAACTTTATTACTATAAGCTGTAGGAAAAAAGATTAATGTAATAGCATTTCATATCTGTTTAAAGTACTTTTTTGAAATGTTAAAGAAAATATAAGCAAATGTATTTCAAAGATAAATAACATATAATGGATCGTGTTGCATAGAAAACCTTCTACTATGATAAACCTATCCAGTTTGGTGGATAAAAGTCCTCTTTTGTCATTCTAGAAGCTAACGCACTTCCCGGCCTTGGGTGTTTATTGTAATATACTGTTGTTCCTCCTGAAAGCCACGCACCCCACCAGCCAAACGTTCCTGTTGTTATTACAAAGTCCTCACATAAAGTCATTAAAGCTAAGTCTTCACCAGGGTCAGTAAAAGTACTTATATTAGCTCCTTTTATATGCATTCTACACCATGCTTTATCATCACTGACGACAATGAACTGAACTTTTGAATATTTTTTTCTGTAGAAGAACATTGCTTTTTCAATGAAATCTATTCCGACATTAACATAACCTTCTTTTTGTTTTGCTGTGATGGTAGTGTCTCCACGTCGAACATGAATACAAACACGTTTGTAGCCATTTAGTGACACACGAGATAAAAAGTTTCGTGCTTTGTCCAAATATTTTTGTTTAAATTTGAAAACAGTTTTGATGACGTCATACGCCTCGTAGAAATATTTCCATGATTGAAGGTATCCATGCAGTGATACATTGCTTCCTGTGTTCATTTCTTGTGTGAAGTTGTAATACACTGCAGATTTTGGCGCGTAACATTTCACTACATTTGAAAGCTTATTTGACCTTGATTGCACTATATTTGGCAAGTCAAAGTACCTGGTAATTGGGTAACTTGCCGGGATTGGTTGAATAGTCGTCTGTTTTGATATCTGTTTTATTTTTATTTAACGTTAACTCATGCACTAGTTTAGATATAGTAGTCCTTCCGTAATTCTTTGATGAAAGATAAAAACACTTTTTAACAATCTTATCATAACAGATATTCTTATAAATACATACAGTACTTACATTTTCACTATTTAAATCCACATTATCAGACATACGTGGCGATCTCAATGTAGCGTTCAATTTATTCAACGAATTATTTGCCTGGAAATGAAAAAATCCGTAAATGAAACTAATCGAGAAAAATAGACATGCTAAAAGTTTAACTACGCTTTCCCTATGAAAGTTACCTTTCATAAAAGTAATCATTTCATGATACATCGCGAATAAAAAGCTGGTAGCAGGTTAAATAGTTTCAGCATGTAAATTACTATTGATTTCATGATATCTTTACTACCATGGTATCACGGTGTCAAGGGTATACGCATAATTTTTCCGCGTACCGTCGATAATTTATCATCCTGCGCGCAGCACCGTATCATTTTAGACAAAACAAACACTTAAACACAACATGCATGATGGAAAACGACCTGAAAGTCACACTTTTGAAGTAAGTTTATTCATAAAAGTGTGTCTACGGAATATTATGATCATTGAAGCTTATTTCTTTACCTAGTTTTTATCAAAGACTTGTACGATTTCTTTGTTTTAATGAAAACAGCTAGAGCTGGCTTGGGGAAAATGAGCATTTGGAAAACTTTTAAAAGGAGAAAATCATGTTGTCAATCAAAATATTTATATGATATAACTGTAAGCATCAAAGATATGTATACAAAAATATTGCACACAAATTTAAGCTGTTTAATTTCTTTAAAAAGTCATAAAAGCGTGACAACTGACCGAGTTCTTGGTACCGTATCATATGGGTCCGCTCCGAAAATTGTGGCACCGTATACATTTGCACTAGACTTGCCCGCATCATGATGATTAACCTAATGGTGAATAATCTTATGTGTATTTATTTATTGTTGCCCATCTGGTCGAAGCATGTAGATGTATATTAATAATAAATTATTTACAAACCGGAGGAAAATGCATAAATACTAGTCAGTTCTAGAAGCAAACTTGGTTCTTTGTGTGTCCGGAGTAAACACATGGGACGACGGTCACATTCGAAAGAATCTGAGTCTTTACTTCATTATTAAGATCGTTTCGATTAGGACAACCTGAGTGCAAGTTGCTGACTTTATTATGCATGTAAAGAAGCAAGATTATAGTGAAAATGTTATGTATATCTAACACAAATATGCATATATCATTGTTACCATTTTATACATACTCTTTGAGATAGTGCTTACGGTGAGAGTTTCTAAAGAAAAAATCAAGCTTCCTACTCAATCCGTGCAATTTAATATTTGTTAATTACAGACTGATAAATTATCATGTAAATGAAATGTTTATATATAAAATATTGTTATAACTAAAGAATTTGATTAAATTCATTGGAAGAGTAAGGAATCGAAGCCGAGTATTTATTTATTGATTTACAGTTTGTGTTTTAATGAAGCAACTGCGCGCATCAAATGGTTCAATTGATTGAAACACTCGAACGGGACACAATAAATAAAAAGGTAATGGAAGAAATTTGTTAATCTCTTTTCTCCAAATCCCTCCCGAGGCACGAAGTCACGAGTCACGAAGAAGGCACACCGGCAGGTCAAGGTCAAGCCGTCTCTGAAAGTACTAGTACAAGAGATGATTGGTAACCTGTCCTGGTGTCGCTAGCAACAGCCGTTATTGTTCGATGATGCCGATTGAAAAGTAATGTCTTGGAAAGTCTCCTTTAACCATCACAGGGCGAAGAACAGGTCAAGGAAGATTCTGCATGAAAAGTTGCTGCTGATGTGGACTCTATGATCGGACCAGCAAGTGCGTAGATAATCTGTCCCATATGGTTAATACAAGCGGCCAGTATAAATAAACTTTATCTGCTTGTTAATCTCCAACAAATTACATGGGCCCTTATAACAGATGTCAAGTTTTTGTTGGTTTGTTTGTTGTTTGTTTTGTTTTTTTTTTCAACATGGCTTTTTGTGAAACGATATTTTAAAAGCAATATGTAAAGTCTTTAAAATAACAAGAAAAATATACATGTAACATACATTCATATGTAATATTGCTATGATTGCAATAACTATTTTGTAATTGTACTGAAGGTTTTAAATGAAAGAAACAAACTTGTAAATTGAGAAATTTAATTACATTGAATTATCAAAATTGTAATAATTTATTATAATTATGACAGCAACACAGTAATAAACATAAACGCGCTGTATCTTGATGAACTGTATATTGTCTCATTGGCTAAAACAGTCATGCAATAAATGCACGTTTGTTTATTGAATTTTTAGGGGGTGTCATTGAAGGTATTGATAGTTTTGTCACAAATGAACAATTGAAACTAAACTAAATCATTTCACGATATATTAAATTGGTTATGAGACAAGTAACTCAAAAAACCCAAGTCTATTGATATCTCTCCCTAAAAGTTAGGTACGAGGGGTGTTCAAATATGAATTCAACAAGGCCAATTTCTCGCCTTTAACCACATTATGCACGAACTATGTGCATGTATCGCGTAAGCTCTCAATTGATACAAAACTTGTGTAAATCAGTTCAGTCTAGCTTTGACAATAACTCGATTAACGCTATCTACTCGTGTATACTAAAGCTAAAATGGTTGGGAAAAGATCTCCCTTCACTGACCACAGGCGAAAGACATATTTAATGAAATATGTCGTGTTTATGGGAAAAATGAACTTTTATTTTCATCTCTCACATGTAAGAAATTTAAAAGTGGCGTGGACACAGTTAAAGATGCATCTCAAGCACGCCGTCCGAAAACTGCAACTCCGCCAAAAATGGTTGAAAAATTAAAGGATTTGATTGCCACTGATGCAAAATTTACAACTAAGTATATAGCTAAATGCGTTGGTATCTCTGTAGGAGCCGCTCATACAATTCTCAGACGTGATTTATAAATTAGAAGGATAAGTGCCAGATGGATACCCCATCTCCTTACAAAAGAGCAAAAACTTGCTCTGGTAAGAATCTCCAAACAATTGTTGAAACAGTTCCCTAAATACAAATATCGTCACTGGCGATGAGACGTGGGTTCCCTTTATGAGCCCTAACAAAATATGGGCAACCAAATGTTATCAAAGACCTTGCAAAGCAAAACGCACCATGAGCGTCAAAAAGATCATGTATATAATTCTCTTTACCAATCAAGGTCTTTGATGAAAAAAAACAACATTTATTACCAATCTTATCATAACAGTTATTTTTATAAACACTTACGGTATATGAATTCATAGCGATCATCATACAGCGTTCAAATTTTGTACAGAATATTTTGCTTGAAAAATCCGTAAATGACACAAATCGTGAAAAATAGACACCCTAAAGATTTTGGCATGCTTTTAATATCAAAGTTAAATTTCGTAAAAGTATAAAATAATTTTATTGTCTCCATGGTTCGTAGCTAAGACAATTCGCCAGTTACAAGATATATAATTTCAGCATGTATAACTATTGATTATTGTCATGATGCATTCTTAACTGGGTACTTTGACATTACCATATTATTAACAATTTTTATTTCTGTGAAGCGCCTGTACGCATCGTATACCGGTAATAATAAATTAAGAAAACGTCTTTCCACGTTTGTGAATAAGTCCATATATCAATAAAGTGGTTCCAACAAAAGAGAGTGATAAAACAAACCAATATATTGATAAATTGGGTCGAGTTGACCCGTGCCGAGTTCGAATAGGGCCGAGCTGACTCGGGGGCCGAGTATGTTAGGGCCGAGCTGACACTAATTCAATTTAAATACATATAAATAGACAATATATCAGTAAACTAAATTGGGCCATACCCCTAGGTCTACACTTGTCGACTGGCTGGTCGGCTAAAGTAAAGAGCTACATACATGTACCGCCCATTTCTTAAAACAGACTGACAGTCACATGGTCAGTACCTGTTAGCATTAATAAAAACTAACATACTTTCAACGATGCTTGGGACTACCAGATTCTAATATAAAATATCAAAACAAGCTAACCTTGATCAAAGCTCTTCGATTTTCCAGGAATTTCCATCAACTTGACATCGGCCATGATCGGGAACGAACAATGTTGAAAGACTGTCAATGATTTGGACAATATTTCATCCACACGATACGTTGTCACAGATAAATAAAAGAAGATATCGTAGAAAATGGCTCTATGCTCATGAATAAAAGGAAGAACTTAAGCTTGGATTAATTAATGAGTTTCTAAACGAGGTTTACACACAACTCTACAAGAAAATCTTACATCTTTCACGGGTCGTCTGACAAAATTCACGTCACACCGGTATTTCAATTGTTTGAAATACTCGAACGGGACACAATGAATACAAAGGTAATGGAAGAAACATGTTAATTTAGACATAAAACATAGCCTTCAAGATGTTTTCAAAATGGTTTTATGTAAAACAGACGATACTTTAGAAACAATGTGTTAGGTCATTAACAACAAAACCCTTTGAATTATTGATATACAGAAAAATAACCATATCTCCAACTCCGCGAATATGTGACACACACACACACACATGGTGTCGCCTTATATAAAGTGCGTAAGAGAAAAATGCCCCAAAAATTGTAGAGAAAAAACTGAGACCGGCAATAACATAACCTTTATTCTGGTTTCATTCGCTGGTTAAATCCTCACGCCGGACATGAATACATACACGTTTGTATTATTTCCAGTGACATTAAAGATAAGAATTTATTTGCTCCTACTGAATATTCCTGCTGAAAGTGAAAACAGTTTTTTTA